TATATATTTATAAGCACCTTGTGAGATATGTCATTGTGAAATATATTTTTTTTGTCAGCAGGTTTCCTTTTCTCAGTCTTAGTATACATATTACTGTGCATGAAATCTACAAAAGTTTGTGGGGGGATGGGTGTGTGTGTGTGGGTGTGTGTTTAACAACGTTGCCGCACACTTTTATATTGACAACCGTGCTTAGAAACAAATTTTGCCGTCATTTGTGGCAACATGTTAATATATTTGAGAACACTAGAATTACTAATGTTTTGCTTTGATCCACAGTCAACACTCTTGGCACCAACAGCCAGGAAATTAAAAGACGAATTGCAATGGGCAAGTCAGTGGTTAGAGACCTCTCTAAAGTGTTGAGGTGCAAAGATAGCAATCTGGAGACTAAGGTGCGCCTGATACGTGCCATGGTCTTTGCAATCACTTGCTATGTATCAGAGATCTGCACAATGACTAGGGATGATAGAAGGAGAATGCCTTTGGGCTGTGGTATTGGAGAGGAAAGAGTATTGAACATACCATGAACTGCTAAGAAAAGAAACAGGTTTGACCTGGAGAGGGTAAAGCTGGGCTGCTTTTTGGAGGCAAGGATTCTGAAGCTTCATCTGACATACTTTGGACATGTTGCAAGGAGGGACCAGTCCTTGGAGAAGGACGTCATGCTTGGGAGGGTGGAGGGGACAGCACAGGAGAGGAAGATCCTCGATGGGATGGATTGATTCAGTGACTGGGGTAATGGGGTAGGTGTGTCAGAGATAGTAAGATTGGCCCAGGATAGGGCAGAGTTTAGGGCTGTTGTACATAGGGTCGCTATGAGTCACAGGTGACTTGACGGCACATAACAACAACAACAGAGTACTAATATATAATAAATAATACAGTGCAATAGATCACACTTATTTAACATTTCTAGTCACATCTCAATAATATCTGCTAAATGATTAGAGGAAACTAAGTAAGGTGCTTGTGGTCTAGCATAGGAATTGGACAGCTTACTAAGAATATGATTGTTATTGTTGTTTGTTGCCGTCGAGTCATAGACGACTCATAGCAACCCTATGAACGAACGGCCTGAGCACTGTTTGTACATAGTTTCCGGAGGCAAGCCATTTCGGAAGTGGATGCCGCTCCTGCTTCCAGGCCAAGAATATGATTATGTTACTTAATAACTTCATAGAGTGGGATATGAATGCAGATGAGAGATTTGAAATTCTAATGAAGGGAATAGTTTGTTTTGCCATCCCATTAGGCTTAAAATGAGCAGTCCAGAAGTGAAAAGAAAGGGTCTTATTGTGACCAAAAGATATGGTAGCAAGAACATGTTTCCTAGACATGAAATCTGTGCTGAGAACCTCCCAGACCTTGGAAACAGATAGACCTTTGTGCTGTAGACTGTGCAAAGAATATTGAGAAGCAGTGACAGAGAATCAGCAGCAGCAGAGCTGATAGACCAATAAGAGATGGTGCAGTGAGTTCCTGGTCAGGGAAGTGGTTACTGAGACATGGTGACCCAGAGAACAAGAGAGGTATGTGCCTTTGGGCAGGAGGCTTACTAAAGAGTGGGGTGTTTCCAGGTACTTGCTGGGTGATTTAAATTTGCAGCCTATAGAGCAAAAGAAAGAAATGCCTTCAGGCCAAGACTTGCTGGTAGAGAGAGTGCATCCCAAAACTTTCCCAGGAGAGGTTAGAGAGATTAGCAACACTTGCCTGAGCAGGACAGAGACTAGTGTGAGAGGCTAAGGGCTATAGAGAGGCCTCTTTGAGGGCAGGATTGCAAAGGGGACTTCCTATTTGATGAATGGTATCAAACATTGTTTCTAATGTTGCATTTTAATGTGTTAGATGCCTTCACGTCAATTATAACTTGTAGCAACTCTGTGAACAGATCCTGTGGGATCTTCAGGATCTCTGCCTTGCTCAAGTTCATTGTTATGTAATCTGTTAACTTTACCTATAAACATGAATATTGTCTGTGAATTTTGGGTGACCATTGAAACATATTATTAGATCAAGCAGACAGGTAAAAGTGCTGTGAGAGGAAGAGCTTGTGGTAGAGGTTATATAAAGGTTAGAGAGGCTGTGTGTCTGCCCTCTGCCTCATAGTAATTGTCCTTGACTGTTGATCATTTTCCTTCCTCCTTGTGAAGTTGGACTAGGTGTGATTTGTTGATAGTATAGGCTGTTAATTAACTATTCATTCTTTTCTCCCTGTATATGTTTAGAGATGATATAACACTACTCAGACAAGAGGTCCAAGACCTACAAGCTTCACTTAAGGTTAGAATAAAATAATTATTATTCTCTATTTTTAGTATTTCAGTTAATAAATAAAAAATTACTAATTAAAAATTTGTTTCTTTAAACTAACCAGGAAGAAAAATGGTACTCGGAAGAATTAAAGAAAGAATTAGAAAAATATCAGCGATTGCAGCAGCAAGTAATTGCTTTAAAATTCTTGAAGCATGCTTATTAGTTGTTTATTTTTTTAATTGAAAATTAAGCCTAATATCTAGTTTTAAGCAGATAACCTGATCTAAATAACTTCCTAATGTGTTTTCTGGTATTTAGTATAAAATTGGCCTACAGCACATGCCCTCACCATATTAATGACTGCACAGAAGTACATAGGAAGTTAAGCTAAGATATAACTTCATAATGCTGCTTCTGGTATGAATCCATTACCCTAATGATTGTTTCTGTACCAGGCTACTTATGAAGGATTTGCAAGACCATGACTAGAAAGAGGCTACTTGGCAGTTCTCTGACAGCATGCCTGAATTGTTGTACCATAGAGATCTGCACAATAGTAAATGTTGCAAAAAATGTTTTTGTAACAAATTTGATATAGCTAGAATTTCTTTTATTTTATTCTTGAAGTTTTATTGAGATTTTTACATAAGTATATAGATAACTTGGGTTCCTATTCATTAATTGTTACACATTTTCCTTCTTACCCACCCCACCCCCCAGTTTGCCTTTCTCTTTGAAAAAAAAATTCTTTCATTGTTGTGCAGTTTCTTCCCCACTCCAGTCCACTTTGCTTTGCAGCTCTTATTCTGGACTGTTGTCATGCAAATAATACCTAACCTTATATTCCTTTTAAACAATTCTTTTCTTCATCTGTTTCAATGCAGTATACGTTATTTATCCCCTCTTTTCTTCTTTTTCCTCCAACCCCGATGTCAGTTCTGTTTTATAACAGTGGCATTATGCAATATTTTTCCTTTTGTAACTGAGATATTTCACTCAACATAATGTCATCTAGGGTCACTCATTTTTTATAATATTATATGAGCTCCTTGTTTTTCAGTGCTGCATAGTATTTCATTATGTGAATATACCACAGCTTCTCTATTAATTCATTTGTTGATAGCTAGAATTTCTGTTGATGCAGAAGGGCCTATTATTTAACTGTTAAATTTATGTTAGAAAAGATTATTCAGTTAATGAGAAAATGATCTTCTAATGATAAGTTTTAGCAAAGCATAAAAGATGTAAACATTTATATACCACATACACACTGTGTGATTTACATAAAAGTAATGTAGAAGAATCCCCACAAAATCACTTTATCAAAAGTGGTTATTTAAAAGTGTTAGGATTATTGTTAATGTCTTAGATAGTTTGCATTTTAGTGTATATGCTAAATAAATGCCTTGACTAGTTGTATTTTTATATTAAGATAAAACAGACCTTTATTTGAAAATTACATATAGACTCAAAGAATTAAAAGATTTTGCCGAATCTCTTGTGTAATTTTTGTATTTTGGAATAAAGTCGACACACTGTACAAATATCTTAAGTGTTTTGATAATTTGTGATCCCTTTGTGCATTATCTTAGCACATTTTAGGTCTTACTTAGTCTTCCCTTTGCTTTGTACCAAGAACTGTCATCAAGTGGAAAACAGAAACAAGTAAATGAATAGGAAGACAATCAGGGTTATTAGAACTCAGCTTCTCTAATTGTGGATGCTGTTAGCATTAAAGAACCTTTTAGTAATCTAAAATACTGATAGTTCATTTATTCATGTTTTACCTAGATGCCATTAACAATTAATCAAACATGGGCTGTATTATTTTCTCTACCTGAAAACAGAGAGGAAATTGTTTACTACATTTGAGGTGACTATTTCCCATTTAATTAATTAATTAAATTCTCCACAGTGCAATGTGTAAATTATTTTGGTAGGAATTTTACCTTTGGGGGAAAATACCTTTTAAATATTAATGACCCTTAAATTAAAATGCTAAATACAAGTGTACATGGAAATAAAATCAAGTGTACTGCGAGACATCTTATTAAAATATTTCAGTTGTATATAATACTTTTAAACATGAGAACAGTGCCAAGGTGTTATATTATTTTGCTTCAGACACACATCATGAACTGATGAAGTATGCTTTTTACTTTTGGTGCTTTTTAAAAAGATGATTTGTAGGGAGCTCAGGTGGCCTAGTGGCAAGAATCTGCACTGCAATTTCAGAGGTACATGGTTCAAAACCACCAGATGCTCTGCTGGAGAAGGAGGGACAATCTCCTTCTGTACCAATCAGAACCGATTTGACGGTACACATACAAAATAATAATAAAATAAAATAAAAAAAAAAGATGATTTGTGATTGTGAATTTAAAATGTTTACTTTTAAAGTCAAATTGGGTAGGAATGATAGTTCAGTGGCCTGATTTTGCTTAGATGTAAATTTTCAGAAATTATAATAGACATTTATATTATGATATTTTATATTGCTTATTACTGGTTTCATGGAATTTAAAATGCAGTGTTCTAAGACTCATAATTTTGCTCATCTTCCTTTTGTGTTAGATTGTTGGGCTAGTCTCCCTAGTGGTAATTTAGCCATCTGAATGAATATGAGGCAACCAAGCTTTAGTTTTCACCAAAATCTTACTACTTACCTTATAGGATATGACTTTCAGAGACATTTTTAACATTGACAGCTGTAACAATATTATCTTCTTTTAAAATACTTCTGTCTTTTGTTTTCATGGAGGAGTCAAAACCTGATGGATTGGTGGCAGATTCATCAGCAGGTAAATTTTATTTAAAGCAAATATATGTATATTTTTTATTTCTGTCCTCCTTTGGTGCCTGGTAGGTTAATTTTTTGTAGGTATGATTATATTTTATGACACTAATCGGGATGGGTGTGTCAGAGGCAGTGTGGTTGGCTCAGGGATAGAGCATGGTTTAGGGCTGTTGTGCATAGGGTCGCTATGAGTTGCAAACGACTCGACGGCACATAACAACACAACAACAACAGACAGATACTCTAAATTTAGAAAGTTACCTATAAACTTTATCATTTCATCAGTCAACTAAAACTGTAATGTTTTAAATTTACTCTTTTCTAAAGCTAAAAATAAACTTCTGGGATATTACATTGATATGATTGTTTAAGGTACAATCTGCTTTAAGGAATTATATACTCTTCTTGCCTAGAAATAAAATGATGGAACTAGCCTCTATGAAATGATTTTTTTTTAGAAAAATGTGAATAGGTGTAAATATATTTTAAATTTACTTGTTTTTAATTTTTTTCTGAAATATTTTTTCTTTGTGAGACTTAAGTATTAGGAAGTTATAATTTAATTGATATTTTTATTCAAGACCTTGATCACTCTTAAGCCATTTGTACTTTTATTACCGTTTATAACTGTTTTACCAGAGAAACGATTATATTCCTTTTTGATTAGTTGACAGATCAGGGAAATAACTCAAATGTTAAATCTAAATAGCTTTAATAAAATATTTACATATTATTAGTCATAATTCTATATATTTGTTTAAAATGTTTTCAAACTTTGATTTGTGCCTTAAATGAGTTAGAGATGTTTTATTTTTGAGATATGAAAATATTCTACCTTTTTAGTTGGAAAGATTCATATAGATTGTCATACTGCTGCAATGCTTATAAAAATATAACTTAATATATTTAACATTGTATTTTACAAACTGCTATACTTTTTGTAGAACTACAGTCTTTGGAGCAACAATTAGAAGAAGCCCAAACAGAAAATTTTAATATCAAGCAAATGAAAGACTTATTTGAACAGAAAGCAGCCCAACTTGCTACTGAAATTGCAGGTAAATTGAGAAATTTTTTAGTACATCAACTAGCTTTATTATTTATCGACATTATGTATCCTAGAAATAAACAGCTGATAAGGTAGTTGTTTTTAAATTGTAACGTGTTTAATGGGAGTTCATGATATCAGAATGTGATGTAAATGAATTTGTTTGTTCTTTCCCTCCTCAACTTGTTGCTCAAAGGACTTGTTTTTCTCAGTAGAATTCTTTTCGAATTTTAAAGAAAGTGTACAATTTATTTTATTATGCTTAATGTTTAGTTTACAATTAAAAGCAATAATATTTTAAAATAATTAATATTCTATAGATTAAGTAGTTATTATATTAGCTATTCATATATACTTTTTCACTCTGATTTTAAGTAAAAAATTTTGATAGAATATACATTAAAATCAATGCTAAGATCAGTAAAGTTCATCCAATTCCATATAAATTTTAAAAACATGCTAAATATATAGAAAGAATCATTGGAGAAGCTCAGTGTCAACTGTGAAAACTAGGCCAGGTGCTGTCTGTGGAACAGACCATCAACTATTTATATGCAAGTTCAAGCTGAAGCTAAAGAAGATGAAACCAAATTCAGGAGAACCAAAATGTGACCTTGAGTCCATGTCACCTGAATTTAAAAGCTATTTCAGAAACAAGAGTGAGGCCTTGAAATCTAATGAACAAAACCCAGATAAGCTGTGGGAGGATATAAAAAATAATATCCATGAAGAATGCAAAAGATTATTACAAAACCAGAGGAAGCAGAAAAGACCGAGATGGATGTCGGGAGAGAACCCTGAATATTGCACTAGAGTGCTAGGAAGCCAAAGCAAAGGGAAGAAATCAGGAAGTTAAGAAGATTTCAAAGAAAGACAAAGCAAAGTATTATAATGAAATGTGCAAAGAGCTGGAGTCAGAAAATCAAAAAGAACAAACTTGCTCAGCATTTCTTAAGCTAAAGGAACTGAAGAAAAAATTCAAGCCTCAAGTTTCTTAAGAATGCTGTGGGGAGAATATTGAATGACACAAAAAACACGAAAAGAAAATGGAAGGAGTATACAGAGTCACTATACCAGAAAGAACTGGCTGATGCAGAAGAATTTAATGAAACAACGTAGGATCAAGAGACCAAGGTGATGAAAGGAGAAATTCAAGTTGTTCTAAAGGAATTGGCTAAAAACAAGGCCCAGGAACTGATGGAATACTAATTAACATATTTCAACATACAGTTGCTGCCCTGGACATGCTCACCAGACTGTCCCGAGAAATCTGGAGCAAACTGCCTGGCTGAAAAAGATCCATAGTTATTTCCATTCAAAAAAAAGGTGATCCAATAGTGTGGAAATTATTGAACAATATCAATAGTATCACACACAAGCAAAATCCTGCTGAAAGTTGTCCAACAAAGACGAAGTGTACTGCAACAGAGTACTGTCAGAAGTGTAACCTTGATTTAGAAAATGCCGTGGCACTAGAAACAGCATAGCCAATGTCAGATGAATCTTGGCTGAAAACAGAGAGTACCAGAGGAATGTGTATCTCCGTTTCATTGACTGTACAAAAGCATTTGACTGTGTGGATCACAACAAATTTTAGCTAATCTTGAGAAGAATGAGAATCTGAGAACAGCTAATTGTGCTCATACAAAACCTGTACGTGAGCCACAAAGCAGTCATCGGAACAGAGAAAGGAGACACTGCGTGGTTCAAAATCAGGAAAAGGGGTATGTTCGTGATATATCCTGTCTCCAAACCTTTTCAATCTACATGCAGAACAGATGATTCAGGAGGCTGTACTTTATGAGGAAGAATCTGGCATCAGGCTTGGGGGGAGACTGATCAACAGCCTGTACTATGCAGATGACTCAACCCTGCTTGCTGAAACTGAGGAGGATCTGAAACATTTGCTGCAAAAGAGCAAGGACTGCAGTCACCAATAGGGGTGAAAGCTCACCGTAAAAAAAAAAAAAAAACCTCCAAAAACAAACAAACAAAGAGTTTCACGACCAGGCCGATTGGTAGCATCATGATAGATGGTGAAGAGCTTCAGTTTGCTTAGCTCCAGGATCAACATTCTTGGTACCAGCAGCCAGGAAATCAAAAGACAAATTGCATTGGGAAAATCTTCTGTCAAGAACTTCTGTAGAATAATGAAGAGCAATGTTGTCAGTCTGGAGACTAAAGTGAGCCTGATCAGCCAGGCTGTGGTCTTCGCACTTAACATGCTATGCATCAGAAAGCTGGACAATGACTAAGGATAACAGAAGAAGAATCAGTGCCTTTGAGTTGTGGTGCTGAAGAAGAGTTTTGAGCTTATCATGGACCACCAAGAAAACAAATAAATCTCTTCGTTGTTGTGTATTGTTGAGTCAGAATTGATTCATAGCTAACCTTCTAGTGAGTTCTCTAAGGCAGTAATTCACGTGGGCCTCTTCTAAATCTTGCTTGAACTTCTGGCACTTCCCTGCCTAGGATTTAGAAGAGATTGTAGCACCAGGGCTGTCATTGCTCATGTCAGATGGATCCTGCCTGACAGGAAGGAATATCAGAAGAATGTCTGTGCTTTATTGACTATGCAAAGGCATTTACAAGTTATGGCTGACATTGAGGAGAATGGGAGCCATAAAGCATTTAATTGTGCTCATGTGGAACCTGTACCTGCACCAGAAGGCCGTTGTGTGAGAAGGGGAATACTGCATGGTTTAAAATTGAGAAGGGAGTGTGTCAGGGTTGTATTCTCTCCATACTTATTCAGTCTGTATGTTGCACAAACTATCCATAGAGCCGGACTCTATGAAGAGGAAGGTGGCATCAGGATTGGAGAGAGACCCATCAATAACCTGCACTATGCTGGTGACATGACCTTGTTTGCTGAAAGTGAAGAGGACTTGAAGTACTTGTTGCAGAAGATCAAGGAACATCACCTTTGATATGGATTGCATTTCAATGTCAAGAAAACAACCACTGGACCTGTAGACAACATCATGATGGATAGAGAAGAGATTGAAACTGTCAAAAGCTTCGTCTTGCTTGGATCCACAATTAACACCCTTAGTCAGGAAATAAGGAGACTCATTGCACTGGAAAGTTTGCAGTTAGGGACCTTTCCAAATTACTGAGGAGTAATGATGTCAGTTTGAAGATTAAGGTGCATCTGATTCAGGCCATAGTCTTTCTGATTACTTGCTGTGCTTCTGAGAGTTGAACAATGAATAAGGATGACAGAAAAATAATTGATACTTTTAAGCTGTGGTGTTGGAGAAGAGCACTGAACATTCTGTGGATGGCCAAGAAAATGAACAGATATGTCTTAGAGAGGGTCCAGCCAGAGTACTCTTTGAAGGCAAGAATGATGAGCCTTTGCCTCACATACTTTGGGCTTGTTGTTAGGAGGCAGTGTTCCTTGGGGAGGAACGTGATGCTGGAAAGGGTGGAGGGTTTGGATAAGGAAAGGATGACCTTCAACCAGGTGGGTTGACACAGTGACTGCTGAAATGGACTCTTGTATGTTAGGAAGAGTGAGGATCGCACAGGATAGAATATGGTTCAGATATTTTGTCCATAGAGTTGATTTGAGTAATACTCGACTTGTCTGCACCTAATCGCAACAACAACAAATTCATGGGAGGAAATTTCCCATTCTTCTGCCACAGAGCAGCTGGTGGTTTTGAACTATGTGCTTTTGGGATTGCAGCACACTGTCTTAACATTAGGCCACCAGAACTCCCTATATAAAGGATCTAGAGATACAGTTTTATAAAGTAATAGAAATTTATAAAACTCTCTTTCCCTAGATTTAACATTGTGAAATTAATATTTATATGAACTATTTTTTTAATTAGATATAAAGTCAAAATATGATGAAGAAAGAAGTCTCCGAGAAGCTGCTGAACAGAGAGTGGCACATGTAACCGAAGAATTGAATAGAGAGACTAGTATAATTCAAGATCTGAAGACTGAGTTGGTAATTTTGAAACCACTTATTAGAATGTACTTTTATAATTTCCTAACTTATACAAATACATGCTGTTAATAATGTTTTGGAAATATAAACCATTTATTTGCTATCAGTTCGAACTCATGGTGACTGATGTGTGTGTCAGACTAGAGTTGTACTCTACAGGCTTTTCAGTGGTTGAGTTTTTGGAAGTTGTTTGCCAAGCCTTTCTCCTGAGGTGTCCTGATTAGCACCTCTTTGGTCAGTAGCTGAATGTGTTAACTGGGCACATTTTACCACTCAGGAGTCAGGAGTGTCTGTAAAAATACAATGACTCACAAGGAGGAAATAACAATTCCCCAGTAATTCCACATAAGTTATACTCTATATGTTTTTGGAAATGGAATTTTTTATATATAATTTATAAATATAACATTTATGTTGTTTCTGAGTAACTATTTAAGTTTCTGAGTAACTATTTCCGTGTCTGAATTTGATGCTGTAGCTACCTACCTCTAGGATACATCCAATTTCCTTTCTAGCTTACATTTTAAATTTAGAGTGTAAAAATAATCCTATTTCCTTCATAACTGTGTTTCTGTCATTGTCATCAAGCATCACTGTAGGCTTAATCTGCTGATTCATAGCTGATCTTCCTGCAGTTTTCTATAGCTGTAAGTTGCACGGAAGGAGATTGCCCAACCTTCAGCCATGGAACTGTTGGTGGATTCGAACCCCAGAGAATCAAGGCCTTTGAATCAGCAATATCATTCCCTGTAATCTAGGCCACCAGAGTTCCCTGGAGGGAAAAAAGTAAAACAATAAAGATAGTTGTGAATTTGCTTGTTTTTACCTTGAAGGGTATAAAGAAGCAGCTTGTTTGGGGAGGATTTCTATTTTTATTGTTTCCAGTTCTGTAATTAAGGTTAAAGATTGCCCTTATTTTGACTTCTTTGTGGTAAAACCATTCTAAAAGTACATCTTTTTTTTTAAGTTTTCACTTTTAATTAAAATATATTGCTTCACAGCTTCAAAGACCTGGCATTGAAGATGTTGCTGTACTGAAGAGAGAATTAGTCCAAGTTCAGACACTAATGGACAATATGACCTTGGAACGTGAGAGAGAATCTGAAAAACTGAAAGATGAGTGCAAAAGATTACAAGCAGAATATGCTAACTCAGAGGTAATAAAGGTCTCTCTTTTTAAAATATAGTATTGATATTAACTTACCATATAAAATTTAGTGAAGCTAGTATTTAAGGTTTTCTAATGGACCTAGCAAAGATGTTTTGGTTTTTTTTCTATTTCATTTGAGCTGTGTTATATTTGATTATAGTCCGGGTGGTCTGATTTTCAATATGCTTTACAACGGCTTTGTAAAGATGGATACTTGGAAAAAATATTTGCATGTGAGGATTACACTACTTAATAAATGATTTGTGGAGCAATAATATTTCAGTTCACTCAAGGGTAGTGGGTAAGTAGTAATTAGTTTTATCTCATTTTGGGTGGAGGTGAAAGAATGAATTTGTTTTCTAATAGTTGCTGTTTGACCTATGGTATGATATTGGAAAGCTTTTTGATAAATGACTTACCTAGTGGGCTTATTTCTGATTGATAGATTAATTGAATATAGAGCTGAAATAAGTCTTGAAAATCATTTAGTCTAACTTTCCATGTAGGATTGTGTCCTTTATGGTGTCTGATAGGGTTTTGCAACAATCTAGCTGGTGTGGGAAGTGCTTATTTTATTAATAAATCAACCATTCTGTTGAGTTGGTGTGTGTTTTTCTGTGGTTTAGATGCACTGATGTAATTCTTTTCTCAAGAATTACACTGAATGAGTTATTACTCTTTTCCACGTGAAGAATTTAAAGATTATTATATTTACTTTCAGTCTTTTCTAGGATAAACATTCTTAGTTCTTTTATCATTTCACACAAGATATGACAGGCTAATAAATTCTTTATGTAGTCATTCCAGCTAATGACAAGTTTTGAACTATGTAATAAAGATATTTGCTTGGAAATTCTAGCCTTTGTCCTTTTTATTATAATACATGAGATGTTGTGTAATTGACTACCATCAATTTTAATTCTTTAACTCTCATAAATGATGTGGTCCTATGCTTTCACTTTAAAGTGTTGTTATAGTGACATTCTAATTAGCATTTCTTCTCAAAGTAGTTGTTTTGTTTTGCATTTTTTGGCTTATTTATTACATATCTAGTGCTTTTATGATAGAAGTACTATGAGTGAATGGCTTCAAGCAACAACTGTTTGTTCTCCCTCAAGGAGGCTATCAGTCTGAATTCAGGGCAACAGCTCTAAGGGAAGGTCCTTATTTCTTGGCTCTTTGGTGATTATGTGGGAAGAGTATCTTTTCAGATCTCTGCTCTCTTCTACTTACTTTTAATTCCTTTTATATCTCAAAAAGAAATCTACTTATAATACAGTCTACACTAATCTCAATAGCATAAGCGAGGTGCCTTAATTCCTTGTGGAGTTATAACTGCAAGTGTAGAGATTAGGATTTACAATACAGCTCAATCCATTCTACCATCTCTGCTGCTTTGCTTGCTTGTTTAACTTCTTTTGTGACTCAGACTGTATTGGACTCAATGGACATTAATCCACAGCATTTAGACATGTAATAAAAAGATTTACTTAAACATACTAGCTTTTGTCCTTTTTTACAATAGTATAAGAAATGATTTATTAGGATTGTTGTTGTGTTCCATCAGGTTGGAACCTATGTATGATTGACCCTCCAGCAGATGTTCAGAGGATTTAATTGCAGGGTAGGAAACGGCCCAACTTTCTCCCATTAAGCACTGGTAGATATGAACTGAGTGCTTTAGGGTTTGTGGCTCAACTTCTCCCTTATGTGATTTGGACCTCTGTTTTTCATGTTTTCTGTTTAAAAAGTAGTTATGGAATTATTTCAATTTTTATTTCTTTCTAAATGTTTTTAGCTGGTGATCTAAAACTTGCTATATTCATAATTAGTAACAATAAATTTAGGGTATAAATATTATAGAAACGTTATCTTTCAGTTTACTTCCAGAAGTGTTGGTGTCACAGCAGTTAAAGTGGCTGTTAACCAAATGATTGGCAGTTTGAAGTCATCAGTCCCCCAGCCAGTTCTTTTTCCTTAAAAGAACTACAGCCTTGGAGACCCTAAGTAACCATTCTACTCTGTAGGGTTACTCTGAGTGAGAATTACCTTGATGGCAGTGGGTTAGGGTTTGGGGTTAGATCTTATCACAGGTGCCCTTGTGGCATATAGTGGTTAAGTCTTCTTTGTGAACTGGAAGGTTGGCATTTCAAACCACCAGTTATGTTTGGGGGGAATAAATGAAATGTTGCAGTCTGCTTTCCTAAAGATTACAGCCTTAGAAAACATTCTATTGCCCTGAGTAGAAATTGACGTGATACAATGGATTTCGCCCCCACCCCCTTATTGGATCTTATCAGTAGGAGAATGATGACATCTTACGAAAGTAATCCATTGATATTGAGTTGATTCTGACTCCTAGTGTTAGGGTTTCCGAGACTATAGATTGTTAGAGGAGGAGGCTGCCCATTGGTGGTCTACAGAGTGGCTGGTGGATTCCAGTCTCTGACCTTTGCATTGGGCGGCACAACATATAGCAACCAGAACTCCTTTGGAAATAACACAGGCGAGTTTTCTAATGCATAAAATTTCAGACTTCCCCAAAGTTAGCTTTTTAGAACAATACTTAAAGTATTTCCATTGAATTAGAACCAATTTATAATTGGCTCTACAGCCTGTTTTCAGAGGCTGTAAGTCGCATGGGAGAGGATTGCTCACCTGCTTTTGGGTTGACAGTGCAATTCCTTATTCAGTAGGCCACCACAGAGCAATGTTGTTTGTTGTTATGTGCTATTGAGTCACTTGCGACTCATAGTGACCCTGTGTACAAGAGCTCTAAACTCCATTCTATTCTGTGCCAACCTAGCCATCTCAAACGCACTCATTCCCACCACTACAGAGCAATAGTGGGTAAGATAACTCACTGACAGCTCAAGTTGACTATATTTGTAACCAAGTAGAAAGACCTGTGCTACATAGAATTTTCAGTAGCTGAATTTTAAGAAGCAGATCACCTTTTGTTGCAAAGTGTCTCTGAGTGGACTAAACACTGCTAAGGTTTTGGTTGGTCGCTGAGTGCTATTTGCACCACTCAAGGGTCTAAATTGTGCATAATCTTAATTTTTTTTCAAGCAATTCCAGGAGTTCATGAATTAGAAGACAGTATTATGGATACCATTATTGTTGTTGATAATATTTCTGATCAGTATAGGCAGTGATAAATCTTTTAACTATAAATGTATAATCAAGGAAATGTCCTGAGGAAAAGGCTCACTTCATAGTCTAAAGTAGAAATACCAGCACACACTGAACTTAGTCTTTAAGGATATGGTAATGACATCCCTGCTTCGATAAGAATCACTTTTGATGAAATCAACTTACTAAACTGTATTATTCAAACATTTAAAAAGCTTTATTCTTTTTCATAAAAAGAAATCTCTTCATATTTGAATTTTCTTGGAGATAATATTTTAAATAATGTAATGGCAATTTTGGAATTTATGCTTTTAAAAGTAAAGTCTTAGGGGAGCTCTGGTGGCCTAGTGGCAAGAAGCTGCACTGCAATTCCAGAGGCGCATGGTTTGAATCCACCAGATGCTCTGCGGGGGAAGGAGGGACAATCTCCTGTACCAGTCAGATCTGATTTGACGGTACACACACACACAAATAATAAAATAAAAATAAAAAATTTTAAAAAAGTAAAGTCTTTTTGTGCTTATTCAAGTGAGAATTATAGACTTATATATGTTGAGAAGGGAAATTTATGCCAGTAAAAAGAAATAGAAATATGTATATTTTTCCTCATGTTTTCAAAAAATATATAGAGACAGAGAATTAAGCTTGTTTATTGTTGTGCTTATATGCTGGTGAGTTGAAAATGACTCATAACCCCCACCCTCATGGGTTATTAGAGCTGTAAACTGCATGGGACGAAATGGTTCATCTCTTTCTTGCAAAACAGTTTGTGGTGAATTTGAACTGTTGCCCGCTTATGGATTTGCAGTGCATCTCTTTACAACTAAGCCTTGTGAAAATATTTGAGTGATATTTTAATTAATGATTATCCTAAGCTCAGTTTGGAAGGTTTTTAAAAATGCGTGAAAGGAAGGATATTCTGAAAGGAATGGATAATTAGAAACCATGAGTATTACAATGAGTAGTCTTGCAAGGGGAATTAGAGGAGGAGCAAGCAGAGGAGGAGATTGTACAGGAATGAATGAATAGTAGTAAAAGATGTTTTCTCAAAGATCTAGATATCATCTTATATAAAGAATAAAACCATCATTTAAAATGCAGAAAAATTGTGATAAATTATAGAAGTTTCACAATGAAAGGGTTTATAACTTCTCCATTGCTCTTTTGTCAAGGATACTGATTGTAGAAAACAATGACCGTTTGGGTGTTTTGTTTTGGTTTTTTTTTTTTATGTTTCTGAAAAAGAAAAAAAAAGACATAGGAAGTCCTGTTGTACATTGTAACGTCTTCCATGATTCTCACCACTGGGCCAATTGGCAGCATAAGGATGGATGGTGAAGAGGTTGAGATTGTTAACAGCTTTAGTTTGCTTGGCTCCACATTCAGCAGTCTTGGCACAAGCAGCCAGGAAATTAAAAGACATATTACAATGGGAATGTCTGCTGTTAGGCACCTTTCCAAAGTACTGAAGAGCAATGATGTCACTCTGGAGACTAAGGTGCACCTGATGCAGACCATGGTCTTTACAATCACTTGCTGTGCATCAGAGACCAGGACAATGACTAGGGAGGATAGAAGGAAAATTGATGCTTTTGAGCTGTGGTGTTGGAGAAGAGTATTGAATATAACCATGGACTGCTAAGAAAATGAACAGGTTTGTCCTGGAGAAGGAGGGGTAAACCAGGCTGCTCCTTAGAGGCAAGGATTCTGAAGCTTTTTCTGACTTACTTTGGACATGTTGTAAGGAGGGACCAGTTCTTGGAGAAGGATGTCATGCTTGGGAGGTTGGAGGGACAGCACAGGAGAGGAAGACCCTGGATGAGGTGGATTGATTTAGTGACTGGAGTAACGGGGTAGCTGTGTCAGAGACAG